TTTTTGCCCTTTGAAAGTAGGTATTTACTTTACTATTTAGTTTAGCACCAGATTAGGAATTTATTTCTGTTTTATTTTTGTTTGATTTTCTTTGCTCGTTTCTCGTTCTAGAAATTAGGTATTTATTTGTTTAAATATTGTAATATTTCTACGAGGTTAGGTTTTACAACAAACAATATTATAATAAATGGTTGTTGAGGTAAAAAACTCTGGAAATATATCTATGGTGGGTAGGCTAACGAGTACAAGTCAAAATTTTGCGAACAATCTATTGGAAGATGGCGTCCGATGATGACATTGAGTCAGATTCGGCTAGCGTAAATAGCGTTATTAGTGCCAAAGATAGTGTTAGAAAATACAAATGTTGTGCTAAAAAGTCGTGCAAGTCCTATTTTTGTGTTGTGTGTGAAGAAGTTTACCATGGTAGCTGTGCAAGAAGGAAAAACTTAAAGTTTATCAGCAAGTCCGGTGTCCAGTGCTGTGATTGCAGTGATTTGCCGCCAAAAGTTGACTTATCAGATGTAAACAAAGATGTTTCCTCAAAACTAAAATATGAAAACGACAAATTAAATACTGAAATGAGTCTACTAAAAAGGCTTATCGATGAAATGGCCGATAAGAACACAGTTTTGAAGGAAAATAACCGTCTTTTGGTGGAACGTATCTCTAACCTAGAAAAAGAACGTAAACAAAGCCAAAGTGTAACTGTAAGCCGCGATCCTGCAGGCGGGCGTTCTACCAGTTCTACTTACTCGACCTCTGGCCCTGGTGTAACCCAAGAGCGTTCGGTGACTCCAAACCCGAACAAGACTGGTGACACTTGCGCCGGGACCCGGGGCGAGACCTTAACCTCTAACGACAATGTAAACAATGGCCATAGTAGTAAAATTGTTGAAACTGTTTCGCTGACAAACGCGAATCAGGCAATTAATAATGCAATTATAAGCAATATGAATCATGCTGGAGACAACGATGGTTTTTCTACAGTTAGTTACCATCGTGGTAGAAGGAAACAGTTTCGTGGTACCTCAAAGGTTGAAATAAATCAAGAATTTATATCTTCAAAAGGAAACAAGATGTGGTTTTACGTCGGAAAGGTGGCCCAGTCAGTGGAAGCTGCTAAAATTCGCAGGTACATAACTCAAAAACTGCCAAATATTAGTGAGGAAAACTTAATTATTGATCAGCTTAAAACTATAGGGAAAACCAATTCTTTCAAAATTGGTGTCATTCCCATTCACTACAATGCTATGAACTCCTGCGAATTCTGGCCTAGTGGTGTGATCTTTCGTAGATTCAACTTCAAGAAAAAACTTGACACATCAAAAAATGACCCTGGTGCTGATTTTCATTCGTCCCAGAATTTTCAGAATCTAGCCGTCAATCAGGAGGTATTTGCAAACTAAATAGTTCTGTATCAGTCTACTATCAGAACGTGCGTGGTTTGCGTACTAAATTGGTAAAACTAATCAGTTCCATTCCTTTAGTTGCATACCAAGTACTCGTTTTTACAGAAACGTGGTTGAGTGATAACTTTCTTGATGTAGAACTGGGCATGGACAATTACAATATTTACAGAAGTGACCGAACTCCAGCAACAAGCACATCCTTAAGGGGGGGAGGTGTATTAATAGCTGTCCGGAATAACATTCTCAGTTCCATTTGTGAATCAGCCTCAACCATTGAGCAGTTATTTGTAAGAGTGCAGTCTGCTAATAGTAAACTATTGCTTGGAGCTGTATACCTACCTCCGAAATCTAATGGAGATAATTATAAGTGTTTTTCAGACTCAGTAGATACTTTATCTGAAACATTTCCTGATTACAAGCTCTGCATATTTGGGGATTTTAACTTACCCAAAGCACAATGGGTTGATGACGGCCTGAGCTCAAGTGCTACTGCAACCCCCTCCGCTATTCCCTCAGAGCGCGCAGCTACTGAGTACCTATCCAACATGAGTGCTTACCATAACATGTTTCAAATAAACAAGTTCCACAATGCGCATGGCTCTCTGTTAGACCTGATGTTTAGTCAGGATCCTGATGACACCTGCACCTTGGCAGATGACATCCTTCTCCCTATTGATTCATATCACCCTGCATTAATATTAAACATATTATGTGCCGAGACCCAGCAGTGTAACTCAGACTACCCGCAACCTGATGAGTACTACTATGATTTTAAATCTGCCGAGTATGCACTTCTCAATGATCATCTAAGTATGATCAACTGGGATGCTTTACTCCAAGGCCCAACTGTAGCAGAAATGGTCAGTATTTTTTATGACATTCTTTACACTGCTATTGACTGCTTTGTACCAAAGAAAAAGCTTTCCACCCATAAATTTCCTAAATGGTTCCCCTTCGACCTAAAGGAACTCATAATCAAGAAGAAAGAAGCACACAGAACCTGGAAGCGGACTGACTCTCCTAGTGACTATGACAACTTCTCGAATCTTCGCACTCGGTGTAAGACTCTTTCAAAGGACTCCTATCTGAATTATGTGCAGCGCTCTGAAATGTCACTGCTGAATGATCACAACCTCAAACACTTCTGGAGTTTTATCAATGCCAAGCGAAAAGCGAATGGTTTGCCGTCTCACATGTTTTATAATAGCAACATTGCCAAAAATGGTTCAGAGATAGCTAATCTCTTTGCTGAATACTTCCATTCTGTTTATTCCAACAAAATCTGTGTTGCTAGTCAGGACATCTCTCGGAGCGATGCACATATTCATGAATTTAACATCTCAATATCAGTTATTTATGAAGAACTATGTAGCCTGCAGTCTTTTAAGGGTCCAGGTCCAGACGGTGTCCCACCTCTTATGATAAAGAATTGTAGCTTTGTATTATCCCGTCCACTTTTCATTCTTTTCAACAAGTCACTCAGTTTGGGTGAATTTCCTAAACTCTGGAAGCAGAGCTTCACCATACCCATTCATAAATCTGGCGATAAAATGGATATTTCAAAATACAGACCCATTATCATCCAAAACACCTTCCCAAAGGTATTTGAGAGCATAGTGACAAAGTTTTTAACTCCAAAAATCAATCCCTGTCTAATTGAGCAGCAGACCGGTTTCCGTCCAAAATGCTCAACTGAAACCAATCTCCTGTCCTACCAGGACAAAGTTTCAAGAATTCTTGAGGATGGCGAATCAGTTCACTCCATATATACCGATTTTGCAAAGGCCTTTGACCGTGTCAACCATGCCGTTCTGCTTGCTAAGCTTGAAAGTGCTGGAATCTCCGGTACTTTGTTGAAGTGGATTAGCGACTATCTTGGGGAGAGAACTCAAATAATCAAAGTTAACAACTTCTTCTCACACGAAATTGACATCCCATCGGGCGTTCCACAGGGTTCTCACTTGGGACCTCTGCTGTTCAACGTTTTTATTAACGATATCAAGTCTTGTTTTATTAACAGTGAGTTCCTGTGCTTTGCGGATGATTTAAAGGTGTTCACCCGGGTCTCTTCTATTGAAGACTGTGCCAGACTACAATCTGACCTCGACAGACTCTCTGAGTGGTGCGCTTTGAGCGGCATGGAGCTCAATGCTTCCAAATGCAAAGCCATTGTTTTCTCCAAGGGTCGTAGCCCTCCACAATTCGCGTACCATATAAACAACATTCCGCTTGAAACTGTCTCACAACAACGAGATCTTGGTGTCATTTTTGACAGCAGTCTCAATTTTATCACCCATATTTCAGACATCACAACAAGGTCGTTAAAACTTGTAGGCTTCATTAAGAGGTGTTCGAGAGATTTTACAAGCATAGATTCTATCAGATACCTTTATTGCTCAATGGTGAGGCCCCTGATGGAGTACTGCTCCTCTGTCTGGTCACCAATGTATTCTAATCATATCAGAGCCCTAGAGCTAGTGCAGCGCAAATTCGTACGTTATTTAGCCTTCAAGGCAGGTATTCCTTCGCCTGAGAACTATGTGTATGACTATGACGACCTATACAGACGCTTCAATCTACAACCCTTGGCAGCTAGACGCAATCAAAGAGATTTATATACTTTTTACAAGGTACTGAACTCCATTAGTGATTCCGCATACCTACTGTCCAGAATAGGGCTTCACGTCCCAGCAAGGGACACCCGCTCTGCCATAACCTTCTCAGAAAGAAATCACCGTACAAACTATGGTTTCAATACATTCATCTCCAGAACTTCTCGATTAGGTAACACCCATGGTAGCCTGGATTTTTTTGGACCCATAAATAGCTTTAAAAGAGAGCTTAACTCTCTAATGTAATTCTCCTTGTTTGTTTGTGATGCCAAGTTCGATAGCTAAGAATTTCTAGTCATCTTGATCAGTCATTATTTATGTTTGTCCTCTATTTTCTTATACCTATAACTGATTTAATGTTTTACTGTTAATAATTTATATGTATTTTTATCCTGTCACTACGCCAAGTATTACTGGCCTATGTTTATTTAGTTGTAAGGTACTTAATGTTTCTTGTTGTTTTTTTTTTAATGGGTCTTGCCCGTAAATAAATAAATAAATAAAATGAGTTTAAGTCATTTTGGTATATATTTTCGGTTCCTACATCGACTGGTCCAAACAGTATATTTCAATTTATTTGAAATACTTTGCTTTCAATTTTAATCCATATAGTTTAACTTAAAAGGAATTTTATTCTGTTGGGCATATCAGTATAAGTTGAATTGTACTATTTAGATTATACACTATTAATAAAATTCAAATAGTACAAGTAGACTTATACTATTCCTATCCTGATTTTGTCGACTTATACTCTTTTTACCATTTGGTGACCAAAGAGGTTATGTTATCAGCTGTTTTGTGGAAAAGAGTTGGCCTTCTTTTTTTTATAGTTTCCGTGTTTTTTTTGTTCAAATTAAATTTGAAAATGGCTTCAAATAGGTCCAGAAGATTAGTAGAGCTCGCTCGAATGAATTTTGGTGAGTACCAACTGTGTTTTTAAGGGGTTGCTATTACGACAAATGTAACTTCTAAGTTTTAGAATCAGAAACAGAGCGTAATCAGTCTAATAGGCAAATTCATGGGAATTTTCCGCCTGAAGTCCCTTCATCAAACGGACAGACAGACAAGCCGGAATCTGAAAAAGCAGATAATCAAGGTATTGTTAACTTGAAGGCTGATTTGAAACTTTTTAAAATAATGTAATTATGTATTTATATAGGTACATTAGAAGAAGAAGAAGATATTTTAGAAAATCAAACAGGATACAGTAGCGACGACAGTATTGCGGATAGAGACTATGTTCCGGACAAGGAACCTCCAGATTCCGATGGTTCCAGTGATGATAATATTCCATTGCTGGTAGTGAAAAGAAAAATACCTACTGGAAGTGATGAGATGAAGGAACAAAACAAGCGAAGGAATGCAAACAAGGATCAAGACAAACAACCTGAAAGAAAACGATTAGTAGATGGACCTTATACAAGAAAAAAAAGGAAAGAAAGAATAGAAAATAAAAACACCGGGCAATCCTATGTCACAGCAAAAGGCAAGGAAGTTCGAAAGAGAGAAATGAAAAATTTGCCAATCTGTAGAACAAAATGTCGTGAAAGACTGGTAGAAGATGTAAGACAGGGCATTTTCAACGAATACTGGGGTCTTGGAACTAGAGACAAAAGGGTAACCTATATTGCTGATCATTCAGAAACAAAAGAAACAGCTTTCAAAAGAAAACGCACTGACGATCCGGCTAAGTCAAGAAATCGTCAAGTGAGCCATTCATTTCATTTTAAAATAAATGGTGAAACAGTTAAAGTATGCCGAGGTTGTTTTATGAAAATACTAGATGAAACACAGATGTTTATTACCCTTGCACTTGACAATTCTCGACTATCATTATCTGGAATTGTTCAACCTGACAAAAGAGGTCGCCATGAACCAAAAAATAAACACAGTCAAAAGATAATTCAAGAAGCAATTGACCACATCAAATCATTTCCCGCGCACCAATCCCACTATACTAGAAGAACAAACGACAAAAAATATTTGGCTCCTTATTTGACCCTTCAAAAGATGTATGAACTATATTGTGAAAATAGAAAGGAAAAAGTCTCCAGACGCATTTACGAGAAAGAATTTCATAAACTAAAGCTGGCCTTTAAGAAACCGAAAGTCGACACATGTCACAAATGCGACATACTACAGATGAGACTAAAAGTAGCTGAAGAAAACGAAAACGAAACTATACAAACCGAAATAGATGTTCACCTTATTGAAGCAGACAACGTTTATAAGCAAAAGGATACTGACAAGACATTTGCAAAACAGAATGAATGCACAAAATGTTATTCCTTCGACTTACAACAATGCCTCCCCACACCGTTTGTTAATTCAGGCGTTGCTTTTTATAAAAGACAGCTATGGACATACAATCTCACTCTTCATGATATGGGAAATGGAGCTGTCACTTGTTTTATGTGGCACGAAGGGGAAGGCGGACGCGGCGGTAATCAAATTGCAACTTGTCTTTTTCTGCAAATATTGTCTTTGCCAGAAAATATTAAAAATGTTATCCTATACTCAGACACATGTGGCGGACAAAATAAAAATTCGCATGTCGCTGGTATGTTCCTAACTGTTATGCAACGTAAAAAGACTTTGGAAACGATCGATCACAAATTTATGGTTAGTGGCCATAGCCATATGGAGTGTGACGTGGACCACGCTCTAATAGAAAAACAGAAAAAAAAGTTGGGAACTGAAATTTCTCATCCTCATGATTGGTACCAACTTGTGAGGAGTGTCGGCAAAAAGCAAAAGTTTTCAGTCAAAGAATTAACGCACGAAGCATTTTTAAACTTTGCCGATTTGTACAAAAGTCAGTTGGTATTGCGAAAAAAAGATTCTTCTGGAGATTCCTTCAAATGGCATGATGTTCAATGGCTTCGGTATACTAGAGAACCTGGCAAAATATTTTTTAAGAAAAGCTTAACTGATGAAGGAAATTTTGCAGAGATTTGTTTTGCTAGACGTGGAAAGGGCGAAACATTATTGTCACCTAAAAAGTGTTATTCACAGAAGCCTCCAATATCTAAAGAAAAGAAAACTGATTTAATACAGCTACTGCCTCTAAAATCTCCTGCTTTTAGACAGTTTTACCTTGATTTGCCCACAAGTGGTGACATACAAGACACATATCCAGATGTTGAGGAGTTCGATGATGATGAAACTTAAGCTCAATTATGTTTGAAATGTTAAAATAAAAAGTAATACTTATATGTTTAAATAAATATTTTCTGTATATCTTTTTTTTTTAATTTTGTACCTCCAGTTTTTGCAAATATCAAATTTTGGGTTGAGCAAAACTAGTATAAGTCATTTCTTAGGTTAGGTCAAAATATTATAAGTCATATTATCTTATTTCATAATAATATATGTCATCTATAGGTCTGGTCAAAAAAGTATAAGTCCAATTTTTTTTGTAATAAAAAAAAAACAGAACAAAAAAAAATAAAAAAATAGATTATCTCTAATAAAAAAACACCTTTGTAAAGTTAAAAATTCGATTCGTTCGAAACAGCCACAAAAAATCCAATTATTTTAAAGTCTAATATTTCGAACGCATTTTTCTTGATTTGTCTAATTTTGACTTGTACTCCTTAGCCCACTCACCATAGATATAATCCTTGAACGTATATACCTAGTATATAATATAGTCATAATTCTTTTATGAAATATTTCCAAAATTACCGGAAAATTACAGGTAAATTACCACTGAAAAAGAACAAATGAAAATTACCGGTAAACTTCAATCTCTATTTGTAACTAAACTGAATGTTAGCCAATCAAGCAAACTTCCAAAAATACCAAAAGCACTTAAGTTAAGTAATGAAACACTATTATAGTTAGGTCACTCTGTTAGAAAGCTTGCTAAAGCAATTATAATAGCATTAATTTGATGGTTTTGCTTCAAAGACTAAATTAGACCCTCTTAGAACATCAATAATTAGGTATGAGAAGTTAAATATTTAAGAAAACAAATAATTAGGTATTATTGTGAGCTTAACTGTTCAAAAGCAGAACACAAAAAAAAAATTCAAGCCACAAATAAGTAAACATCAATCAAAAAACTAATCTTATCTAACAAGATTAGTTCTTGCTGATTTCTAAAAAAAAAGGATTTCAAGATCAGAGGCCAAAGAATATGAGCAAGAAACTAATAATAATAATTGTCTGGGTAAATGTTGCAAAATTACTTGCTGACTTTTGAGTCCTTGTTGAAAGGATAGATCAGACACCAAAGAAAAGACCTTCATGTAAAAAATGAAAAAAATATTAGAAGGGAATTGAATTGACTGGCGTAATAATTATCATCCTTGGTACCCAGTGTTCTAAGAGACTGTTTACAGGATTTAATAATATGAATTGTAATATAAATAATATCAAGTATTGCTTACTTAATAAATGTTTAAAAAAAGTAATTTATTAAAGTACCTATCTTTTGCCATGCAGGCATTCAAGTAGTGCCTCTGAGATTATCAGAATAGTTTCCATAAGGCGACTCTAGTTTTCCAAGCAATATTGGAGGAATATTAATTTCTAGAAACTGGTCCAACGAGCCTCATTAGTGAATAAATATCCTAATTAGTAGCCAATAATTATCAATAAACAAGTTTGTTTTTTTTTGTGTGTAATAATAGCAACTTAATTGGATATTATCACATTACCCTAGTATTATTCAAAAATTTGTTGTTGCTCTCTTGGTGTCAAATATTATTGATTAACATAAAAGTTATAAAATCAGCAACATTTAATTTTGTGTATTATTGAAAAGGAGGGAAATATTCCTCCTATCCTAAGCCAGTGCGTTGGATAATATCCATCTGCTTGTACTATTATTATTCTCATATGCTGAGTGCAACAGCAGCACCAGGTCAAAAGAATGTTGTTTACGTCCCAGTTGGGTCAGATTTGTAGCTTGGATAGGTTAAAATGAAAACTTTCAGGACATACCTTGACGTCGGAAACTTCCTTCATTATTTTCTCGAACGCGGCAGTTTCCTCTGCCTGCCGATGGGTATGTAAAGCGATTTTTTCACTAAATTTCCTCGGATTCGCCATGATTGCCTACACAAAATATTCACCGTCCCTACACTGTGCGCGGTTCCTTTTCTTGTTCGTTCACCAACCCAGAGAGTTCCAGTTCATGTTGGCACAATCGATAATAGAGTTTTCTTTATGTTTTTTTCAAAGTCTCGGACATCACAACAAAACTATAATTATCGTCACTCACACAATGCATAATTAATAACGGATTTGTTTTAACGAATTATCCGCTCGTTTAGCTGGCCCGCCAGACAGTGTCGGTCTTTGAAAATTGCGTTCTCACGTTTTTTTTTTTCGCTTCAAGGAAATGGAATTTGGAATAATAACATACGAGGCGCCGTATGTCTGGTTGCCTACAGGCGATTGTTGTGTTGACGATTAGTGACAGCTGTCAGAGGCGCGTCGGCGTCGCGACGCATTTTTTCAGGACCGGCTTTTGAAATTCGAATAATCTTCCATCCAACAAAAATCTTCTATACCATAATCAAATCCATTATCCATCCATCCAATTTTGATTGAAAAGTGTAAAAAATTTGAAAGAAAATTTCGTTGAAATGTAATATTTTAATGAAAGTCCCAAAGAAACATGCCGGTGGATCCATCCAGGACCAGTCTATCTTTGTCTAGTTCATAGAAAATCTGAATGGCTGTCTCATAATGGTGGATTCAAATGGATACATCCACGAAAAAAAGGCACTATCACCAAGGATAATACACATCAATACTACAGGAAAGCTTATCCTCAAGGCCTGTGTAGATCAAATGTCAATGCCCCCACCCTTTGCCCACCTCCACGCCAAAGAACTAGCGATGACGTAGGCAGCATGTCGTTTCTCGCCTTGACGTATGGATCTTGCACCAGAGGTTATTGCGGCGTTCCGTATCTTAACCAGAGTTACCGATTGGTATGGATCGGTTCGTCTATGGTGACAGTCTGGTTCCTGAGAATGCGGTTTATATGTGGAACCGCGCGTTTCATAACCTTACCAGATTTCGGGAGTGGTTAGGTTACGGAACGGGAACCGGAAAAACCAAGAATCTTGGTTAACTTACGGAACGTGGCCTATGATTCCGCGGGCTTTTGCTCAATAGTTGTATTCCTTTGACACCTAGGAGGAGCTCCGGAACAGCTCCGGGGCGTTACGCGCCTATTCCTTTCGAAAAGTGTTTGTTGCACCTAAGTGCTTAAGCCCGACTCAGACCATTTAAAAATACACGAAAAACAGCGTATCTGTTCCTTTCAAATCGGGCTCGACTGACACCGGTGCGAGTAGCTCCAGTGTTATAACTCTTGAAAGAAATACAACTTTATGCATACTTGGTGTTAGTATATTAATTAACATTCTAAGGGCGGGTATTATAAAACTACTTTGAGAGTTAACTTAAAGTTAACTTCTGAAAATACATGTAATTCAAAAAGTTATCTTCAAGCTAACTGTCAAAGCAGTTTTATAATACCCACCCTAAAACAACTCTGTTTTGACTGTTTTAGATCTCGTTTGCATCTTCCTCTTTGCCTATTATGTTAATCAAAATTAAATAATATTTTTCATCATGAATGTATATTCTAAACTGCGACTGCTGGCGCATACAGCTGACGACGTAGTTGATGACGTCGTCAATGGTGCTAATATTGCAGCGATTCCCAAAAACGAGTAGGCCATGGGCCTTATTCTGTAGGGAACGAACCGTTCGATTCGGTAGAATTTCTTCGATTGTGACGTAATTTTCAGTTTGGTTTTCGCGCTACCAAACCGGAAATGACGTCAAAATCGAAGAAATTCTACCGAATCGAACGGTTCTTTCCTTTACAGAATAAGGCCCCAGGGCAGATAAATTTTTTCGTAAAATAAAATTTAACAGCAAAATATCGATACAGTATTGTTAAGGATCATTTATAGATGTTAAAAACCAAAAATGCAACATCTAATTACCTACTTTTAGGGGATTTTATAAAAAATATTTAGGACAAAAATAGGGCTTTTTTTTGTTTATTTCACTGTATTTCGAAAACTAATGATCGGATGGTTTAGCTACTGTGGCAATAGTTTTAGAGCATCGAACAAGCTTTAAAATGAGCCATTATAGAATCCTGTAGGTCTTTTAGTCTTCGATTTTTTCCCCCAAAAAAAGAGATTTTCGTAAAAAGTTCCTAACTTTTTTAATTTTCATGCTAGACAATTAATTTTTTACACATACATAGTAGATGAGGCAGGCTTTATTGAGCCCAAATTTGGGCCCGGTCCGATGGGTCGTTTCGGCATAATACCCTTGTCAAGCAAAATGGGGATGTTTCTAAAGCAGTCTGTCGAATTGAGGATAATTTTTTTTATATTTATTTTGAAAAGTCGAAATGCCAAACTATCGATTCTCTATCTCAGATTTTCCATTTAATTTTTTTATCGCAAGTAAAACGGCTCCGAACATCACTGAAAAAACGGAGTAGGCAGCGAGCTCCCCCCCGCCCACGCAAATTACATTTTTTTCCATTTTGCTTGACAAGGGTATTATGCCGAAACGACCCATCGGACCGGGCCCAAATTTGAGCTCAATAAAGCCTGCCTCATCTACTATGGTATGTGTTAAAAAAAATAATTGTCTAGCATGAAAAATAAAAAAGATAGGAATTTTTTATGAAAATCTCTTTTTTTGGGGGGAAAAAATCATTTCTCGAAGACTGAAAGACCTACAAGGGTTGTATATTTAACGCACAAAATATCTGCAAAGGTAGCAGTGCTGAGCGGCTGAAAAGCCGAAACGACTCTCCCGAAATCTACAAAAAAAAATCTACAGGGTTGAATGATGGCTCATTTTTAAGCTTGTTCAATGCTCTAAAATTATTGCTACAGTAGCAAAACCATCCCGATCATTAGTTTTTGAAATACAGTGAAATAAACAAAAAAAAGCCCTATTTTTGCACTAAATATTGTTTATTTACGACGTATAATGTAAGTATTAGGTATACTTATGATTTTGGCAGTATAATGACATATGTTATTCCCGCAGGAAATAATGATGAGTAGCGGGATTAATGGTCATTATTCCTCAAAAGTGTCAGTGTCAAACGTGTAGTGCATGTGGATTTGTATTGAGAATTGAGATAGATGAAATTTGCCCATTAAAAATCTCAAATAAATTAATTTGTCGTAAATAAAGTAGAATATACTACTCGCAATAATGGCTATTATTCCCTCGGACTGTTACTCCCTCGCCGCTATTGCGGCTCAGTTCGTGAATATTCCTCGGGAATAATAGCTATCATTATTGACTCGTACTCGTGGTATAATCTACTATTAGGTATAAAATCCCCTAAAAGTAATATTAGATGTTGCATTTTTGGTTTTTAGCATCTATAAATGATCCTTAACAATACTGCATCGATAGTTTGCTGTTTTTTTATGTTACGAAAAAATTTATCTGCCCTGGCCTACAAATAGATCTGATGCATATAATATGAGTATTATTTGCTCCATTTGCTCGAGTTTTAACACATATTTTAAAAGACTACTCAGGCTTATGTGTATGCTCACTAATAATAAGTACCTACCCTACCTAATAAGAATGAGAACCTACCTTATAAATAATAAGAATAAGTAATACCTAGGATTTCCATATAGGTTTTCCGGAATTCAGGACAAAGGAGTCAAGAATCCAAGAAATCCGAAACTAAGCCGTTGCGTGTGTGTTAATAATCGTCGTCGCCTATGGTCGTCGCACCACATTGTTTCGAAACTAGGAACACAAACGCTGTAGAACCTTAATGGTGTAGACCATAGACTTATTTGTTGTTTCCATTTCCATAAACAGGTTGCGGCAACCAGCAACAAAATGGGTACATTCAGGCGGTGCCAGCGGCTTAGTTCAGCCACTCAGCGGGAACTTGGAACTTTATTCTCGAAACAGGAAAGCAGCGTTCTCGTTGGAACGAAGGTTCTGTCTTTGTCGTCTGGCATAACACTGACAATGACAGAGCAATCGTTCTTATGAGAACGCTGTTCCTTGGTTTTGAGAATAGACTCCCTGCTGAGTGGCTGAGCTTAGCCGCTGGGACCTCCTGAATGTACCCATTGCTCCTGTGTTTCTTTGGTGTGGACTAAGCTTTAAGCTATGTCCACACCAAAGAATGCGTCTCCTCAAATGGATCTGTATATGACCATCTGCTCCTTTTGGGTAGTTTTACTTTAAACTCAAACTTATTATGTTGAATAAGTTTAACTGAAAAGAAGTTTAAAACCTATGGAAAATGTCTAAAATATAATCTTATAGCCATTTGAGACATTTTTCCTTGATTTTTGAAGAAAAGCGTCTAGGAAACACATCTGGAACAAATGTGAAAAAACATCTCTGATTTCAAATGCAAATTTAAACCAAAAATACTGCTCCATTTGGGTCCTTTGTTGTAAGCCTCAAATTTTAACACCCATATGAAACTTCGTTGGATGGATTTTGATTGTAGTAAAGAGAAAGAATATGTTGTTGAAATGCAATCTCATTTGATATTTTGGACAGAATATTTCGATATTTGATATCTTGGACAGAATATTTCGATTGAAAAAAACAAAGGAAAGCGTATTTCGAAAACATTAGGGGCAGTTTCTGGTTCTAGGTGCAAATTTGGACAAAATAGTTATTTGTGTACCAAGGCCGTAAAGTTGATCGTTTTAGGCCGAATCAGAAATTTGCGGCCGAGGCGCAGCCGAGGCCAAGCAAATTTCAGGTGAGGCCAAAAAAGATCATTCGGCCGAGGTGCACACAAAATTTTTTAGACGAGTGTTTGTTCTTGAAAAAAGAAGAAAATTCAACAGTAGGTTTAAACTGTATTGATCAAATAAATAATCTAGCAAAGATAGATACACAATTATTAATAACAGAAACTTGTGCTATACCAAAATAATACTCTTAACCAATGCATTTCTGATGAGAGCCTGTGGCATAAAATCTTAAAGTGCATAGCAGCAGGTTTTCTAAAGTAACTGCCCTAGCAAGTATTCTCTCTGGTACATGTGTTCCTACCAGTGTTGCCAGAATTGAAGGATTTCCTTCAATATGAAGAGTTTTGGTCAAAAATTTTGACTACTGGGTCCTTATTCTTGAAACAGGGGAGCAAAGTTCCCAGGAGAACGAGTGTTCCGTCTTTCTCAATGGATATGCAAATGATAATATAAGTAACAAAGACGGAACACTCGTTCTCCCGGGAACGCTGCTCCCCTGTTTCAAGAATAAGGACCCCCAAGGATTGAAGGTTTTTATCCGAATTTGAAG